AGGAAGCTGAAAGGTCCGGCCAATGCTCCACTGGAACGCTCGTCCCAATTCTTAGATGCAGATCCCGAGCAAGTAAGACAACACACGGAGGAGAATCTTGCCAAGGGAACCGATATGGTTGTGAGTATCTGAAAAATTTTCAATGCCACTTCTTACTAAGAGCGTTACACGAGTATCCTCATAACTCCATTCAACTGTCGCAAAGCGCAAGAAGCTCACCTATTCGACCGGCTCCCAATCTCCTCCCCGGAGGTTCGTCTTCCAATTTCTTAGCAGCATTGAAAGCCAGAGTAGGTGCGGGACCAGGCGCTAGTGGACACAATGTTGCTACTGAGTCGGTCTCTGAGGAGTCCAACAACACAATGGATAGTAGTGAATTCAATGGTTCAAGGGCGAGTGCATTGTCAGATGATACACCACCTTCGAGCGTCAACGGGGCTGAGCCTACCGTGAATACGAGTAGTATGGCCAACGCCCTCGCCGCGAGAATGGGCCAGTTGAAGAAGCCCCAGCCAATCGACCTCAACTCTCCACCCGTAGGAAATGTCGCACTACCACGTGCACCTGGAGAAGCCTTATCAAACGGACCTCTACCTCCACCGCCGCCGCCACCACCACCTCCGCCACCACCATCCCTATCGTCTGCTACATCATTCGGCTTTCCCCCTGCCCCACCACCGCCTCCACCACCACCTCCCCCTCTTACGGGTGTCAGTTCAGCTGGACTGTCTTCAGCACCCTTCCCGCCTCCACCGCCTCCACCGCCGCCTCCTACCGGTATCAGCTCAGCTGGGTTCTCGTCAGCATCATCCATACCACCACCGCCACCGCCCTTTGCATTCTCGCCCGCTAGCAAGGCTGGATCGCTACCAGGGTCGACACGATCTTCTGTTCAAGGTGGTCACAGCCCCATGCACGCGATGCTTGCAAGTCGAAAAGATGTGCCTCTAACGGCCAATACACGAATGAAGCAGTTGCAATGGGACAAGGTATCTCAAAAGATTGCGGAAAACACCATATTCAAGGAAGAGGATGTCGTCACGGAGCAGAAGCTCACACAGAAGTTCGTCGAGGTGGGAGTCTGGAAGGAGATGGAACAACTATTCCAGGCCAACCAACAAGTCTTCAACTTTATAGGTAAAGAGTCGCCTGAGAGGAAAACCACAATGAATGCTCATTATTCTCAGACAGACAGAAGAAGGCGGAACTGAAAAGCATTCTCGATCCTCAAACGAAGAAGCGTGTTGGTGAGTTGTATGTCTACAATACAGACAACAAAGTAACCGCTCCGGTTTCTCAGAAATCATCATCCAACGCGTCAAACGACTTTCGCCGGAAGAAATTGCGAAACAGCTCTTGTTAATGTCTCCAGAACTCTGTACCGAGAGTTTCTTGAGCGAACTCAAACCCATTCTACCGACACCAGAGCAGATTGGGAAGCTCAATATTTATCGAAATGCAAGCGAAGAGGAACTGGCTGAATTACATCCTTCCGATCGACTCATGGTACAGTTGATCAAGATCGATCGGCTTGGTCCCCGTCTGCAAGGCATGCTTTTCCGATGCCGGTTTGACGAGCAAATTGGTCTATGGGAGGAAAATGCGCGGAAAATACGGGATGCAGGAGATTCTCTTTTGCACGCTGCGAAATTCAAAGAGCTCATGAGTGTAAGTTCTTTCGGCAGTGGAAGGGAGACGAGATAGCTGACTGATATTCGCGTCTAGTTGATTCTCCTCATCGGTAACTACATGAACGGTACTGGACACAAGGGTGGTGCCTATGGTTTCAAAGTCAGCAGTATCAACAAGTTGGTGGACACCAAATCAGCCAGTAACACAACCTTGCTTCATTTCCTCGAGAGAACCGTGACTGCTCACTTCCCTGAAATGGAAGAGTTTTTAGAAGAACTGGCGAAACCCGCAGAATCGTATCGAGTCAATCTCCAAGACACGCGAAAAGGGATGATCGAGTTGAGGGAAGGATTAAAGTCTCTCAACACGGAATTGAGCGAGCATTTCGCCGAGGCGGATATCTCTAATCCGACAGACTTGTTCGGGAAGAAGATGTGGCGCTTTGTAGGAGAAGCGACGGAACGATTGCAGACGTTGATTGAACTGGTGGCGGATGCCGATGGAACGTTTGTGGAAGTCGTGAAATATTATGGCGAGGACGAGAAAAATGTGTCTTCGACCGAGTTCTTTGGCATCTTCAAGACATTTGTTACCTCCTATCAAGTCCGTACTCCTTCCGCCTCTCATGCTCTCGCTCACAAGGTGCTAATATTATTCGTGCACAGAAATGCAAATTCGAGAACCGAACACTTGCAGAGGAAAAAGCGGCAACGGAGAAAAGAAAACAACAGGCTGACGAAGCCAAAGCTGCACGAGAAAAGGCAGAAGCAGCTCGCTCCGAAGAGACCGAATTGCTAGACTCACTAATGGACAAACTACGAGAAGGCAAGAGCGTCAAGAGCGGTCGTGCGGGTAAACGACCGAGCGCAAGAGACCGGACGATGCGACCGCCTCCGACGCCACTGTCAATGCTTTCCCTCACCGAAAGCGGAGCTATGGGTGAAGGAGGTGCGGATGCAGTAGATTTGGCGAGAGGGATGTTGGCCGCGTTGAAATCGGATGGGTTTGGAGTGGTCGGTGAGGATGGTGATGTGACGAGTGGCATGTTACTTCCTATTCCTGCGGTGCCAATGTCCCCTACGAAGAGGAGACCGAGGATCAAGAGTGATCCGCTGCTTGCAGAGGAATTGGAGGCGTTGACCAATGGACAGGCGTACGAGGATGGGAGTCTGTTTTCGCCTGAACGATCGGAAGCGGGCACGGAAGAATTACCGGGAGAAGGAAAGTAAGATACACGAAGAGATAGAAGCGATCGTGTTTTTTTTTTGGTTCGGGGCAGTATATCGATCAAGGGCTATTATTCCCCTCTCGTTTAATATGTTTAATGTGTCGTGTAGCTACAGGTCTGATTGTTTTCTTGTATTCCACTTCTTTTGTTACCGTACACCTGGTATATCATCGACAGGATTACAAAAAAAAAAAAAAGAAAAAAAAGGGGAAGAACTGCACAAGAAAGCATTATGGGTTATTCCTCAATATGCGAGATGTGTAAGGTAATTTGTCCGAGTGATCTCAAACCGCCGTGGAAGCATCTCCACTGTGGCGTGACGCTGCTCCTTGATGCCCACCCATTGCTCCTCCAAAGCCGGCCCTAGTACGCATTGCAGAGGCATCAAAAGGTGCGCCACCCAGTTGTTCCTGTACATCTCCCCATCCTCCTTCGCGCGTGACGACAGGCCACTGTACACCTTCTCCAAGCTCATATCCAAACGTCAACGCTCCCGCATCCTGCATGGGTCTCCTGAGGAACAAACTCGTGGTCCTGGGTAACAAGACGTGATTGAACCTAAAGTCCCAAACGCTCGCAAACGTCGACCGAAAGGCGACCAGAGCGCAAAAGCTGCCGATGAGTCCACCGATGAGGATATCGTACCAATGATGATACGAGTCGAGGGTCATGGCGAGCGCGATGAGAACGGCGCCGAGGATGGGGGCCATAAAGAGGAGCATTTTCCAGTAGGCTGGGTTGTGTGCGGAGAGCAGTTTGAGTTGGGCGTTGAGATAGAGGGAGAAGTAGATGAAACCTGCAAAAGCGGCAGTGGCGTGTCCACTCGGGAGAGATTCAACGGCGTCGTTGATATCCTTCTTATCGCCTTGGCACTGGAAGTGGGAGAAAAAGGGGAGAAGATGGTTAGAGATAATGGAAAGGCACTCGGGTCAAAACGCTGCTTACCACTGAGCGAGTAAAATAGAGTTGCTGGTAGCCCGAACCGACGAGACCTTGTGGGATAGCAGGGTTGCAAACGATTAAGAAGTGAGGACGAAGGCCACCAATGAGACATTTAATGATGACTTGGAATAACGCCGCGGTGACTACGAGGCGGGAGTTTAGCATCTCCTTGGGGAAAAGAGAGGAGTGAGACTACTCACTCAGGGACTTGAGGAGACCCATAGTGGTTGTGAATAGATGCTCCACGTTTCTCAGACGGATTTGGTAACAGCAAAAGAAGACAAAAGGAATCGTGAAGGCGAGGAAGGCGGCGAGCCAAATGGGCACGATCTCCTTTTGCATTGGTGCAGCTACTTCGGGCTATACGACGTTTAGAGTAGGTTTAATGAGACTTGGCGAGTTACATACCCAAACAATCTCGCCGTCTTGGAACTGGATGGGGAACCAGCGATCGTATGCGGGGGCTAAGGATCATTTTCAGTCAAGAAAGTGCGAGAATAGTGTTTTGGGAGACTAACGTGCAAAGTAGATACCCAAACCTGCCACTGTAAACATGGTTCAGAACCCGGCTGCAGCAAAACGGAAGATGAGATGATGCACATACCTCCGGCGAAGAGCATCGTGATGAGATCAACGCCATGTAAGCGTAACCAGACTCCTAGACGAAAGGATCCGGGAGTTCCACGACTGCCCTTGGCTTTTGTTGTCGAGGTTCCCGTTGTAGCGTTGTTTCTTCTAAACATTTTCGCCCAATGTCCTTTGCTTCCGGATTCTGGGACGGATTGAGGAGAGCTATGGGAGTGATGAGAATGCGGGGCATCTGGCAGGCGGTTTTTATACGCGGAGAGCGGTGGACGGAAGAGTGATGTCACAGTCCAAGGTACGCTCGTCGGGGTAACGTCATTGTCGAATGCTGTCGATATGGCTAGGACGACTTGTAACCTTCAAAATAGTTATTTAGGAGGTATTTTCAAGTCGTAGAACCTACGCAAGGAGCCTGCCTTGGTTTGCCAAGAGGGATATTGGTGATGACCACGCCGCCAAGTGAGTCCTGTGGAGATCGACAATCGAGTTTAAATTGTAAAAGAGTATATATATAAATATACTACTTGACATTGAGCAGTAAAAAGCCACTTGTATCCATGGTATTTACCATAGACTTCTAAGGAAAAGGCCCAAAAAAAAACAAAAAAGGATGTGACACGGGTGGGGTTCGAACCCACGCCTCTTGCGAGACCAGGAATCTTAAGAAGAATGGTGTTTATCGCGCGTAGACGACAAAACCAGCGAAATCTTAAATCTGGCGTCTTAGACCACTCGACCACCGTGTCTATAATTTTCAGATTTCTCAGGTGTCTTATACCATTCGTTCTAGGTTTGCCGAGACCACCATGGGCGCTCCCTATTCCGATGGCAGCGGTTCTGTCCCAAAAAGGAAATTGGCGGAATCGTTCGATAGCTGTGCGTAAGGCCCATAGGCCACCGATTACTCGGCAGGTCGGTCTGTTCTCCCCCCTCTACAACATTCCTCTTTGGATAGCGACTTGGCCCCTGCCTCGTCTTATCCTCCCAGAGCCAGCAAACGGCCAAACACCTTGCTCTCATCTCCTTCCCTTGAGCAAGCGAGTTTCACCCAACCACCAGAAACACGATTTTTCCACAGGATTTTTACTCGCTGACGAATAAAGCAAAACCATGGTCCATTCGTCCTCCTCCATCGCCCACCCAAGCTCCATCCCGAGCCAAATCTTCTCCTCTGCAGAACATTTGAGCAACAAGCTACTCAGTGATCGTCCCTCTCTCATCATCGGCTCTGTAGCTGTCGCCATTCTCACCATCCTCTTGCTCGAGCAAACCATTTATCGTGCCAAAAAGGCTCACCTCCCAGGTTCCACATGGACGATTCCTATCATCGGAAAGTTTTTTGACTCTCTAAACCCAACCCTCGAGGGTTACAAACGCCAATGGGCCAGTGGCGAACTTTCCGCCCTCAGTGTCTTTCACATGTGAGTCAATTTTAACCTTTAAAAATCCATCTTCTTGCATCATTTTCTACAATTCTAATCGTCCCTTTCTCTAGCTTTATCGTCATGGCCTCGACCAACGAATACACCCGCAAGATTTTAAACTCGCCCGCCTATGCCGAGCCCTGCCTGGTCTATTCGGCCAAACAAGTCCTCTGTCCCGAAAACTGGTACGTCCTCTTATCCGCTCACAGACCCGAAAACTGGCCTAACCAATCCTCGCCCCTCGGTGACGATTACAGGGTATTCTTGAATGGGAAAGAGCATGTCGATTACCGACGCACCCTCAACTCTCTCTTCACCCGAAAGGCTCTCGCTGTCTATCTCGAAGTCCAGGACTCCATCGCCCGTCATCATTTCGCGCTTTGGCTCAAGACTGCAAAGGAGTCCAACGGCTCCCCACAGAGTATCATGCACACCACCCGTTATTTGAACATGCATACCTCTCTCCGCGTCTTTTGCGGCGAACATATCCCCGAGGATGCGATCACGGTCATCAGCGACAACTATTGGAAGATCACCCTAGCGTTGGAACTCGTCAATTTCCCACTCGCTCTCCCCGGTACCAAAATCTGGGGTGCCATTCAATCCCGAAAGGTCGCGTTGAGACATTTGGAGGAAGCCGCCAGACGATCAAAGGAATATATCGCCAATGGAGGTGAAGTCCGTTGCATGATCGATCAATGGGTCAAGGATATTCAAGATGCAAGGGAAAAGGCGATGATGGAGGGAAGCGCAAAGATGCCCAGAGAGTTTACCGATCACGAGATGGGACTCGTCATCCTCAGCTTCTTGTTCGCCAGTCAGGACGCCATGAGCTCTGGTGTGATTTATGCCTTTCAACATCTCGCGGACCATCCCGAAATTTTGGCAAAGGTTCGAGAGGAGCAAAAAGTCGCTAGAGGGGCCGATTACGCAAAGCCATTGACGTTGGAGATGGTGGACAACATGCCTTATTTGAAAGCCGTGATCAAGGAGAGCTTGAGGTTGAAGCCACCAGTCACCATGGTACGTTCCCACTTTGACCCTTTGGATTTCTCTCGTTTTTCAGAAACTGACTGACTGACTGAACTGTTGGGTTCTTGCTTCTTTCTGATTATTAGGTCCCCTACAAGACTACAAAGGCGTTCCCGATCTCGTCCTCGTATACCGTCCCGGCGAACAGCATGGTCATCCCGTCCTTGTATCCCTCTCTGCACGATCCAAACGTGTACGAGGACCCTCATCTGTTCCTTCCCGATCGATGGCTCGATCCCAACAGTACCGCGAACACAAACCCGAAACATTACTTGGTCTTTGGTGCCGGCCCCCATCGATGCATCGGCGTCGAGTACACGAACATCAATATGGCGTGTGTGATGGGGAATGCAGCCGTCTTGATGGATTGGGAACATTTGAAGACGAATGATAGCGAAGAAGTGCAAATGATCGCCACGTGAGTTATTCCCCCCACTTTTTCTCAGCTGTCCCTCTCTTTCCCTCTCTTCGCGTTTTTGCCGAGTTCTGACCTCCCCTGTGTCTCTTTCTTCTTCTTCTTTATACAGACTCTTCCCCAAGGACGGATGTTTGCTCAAGTTCTCTCCTCGAACGGAATAGAATCCAAACGCTAGTCCTAGTCCTAGTCTATTCCATTTTTGGGTTCGCATGCGCAGAACCCAACATTTCCCGAAAAGAAGAAGAAAAAAAAACAAAACCAAAAAACAACAATAACAACCAACCAACCAACCAACCAACCGAACCAGAATGGAGATTTTATTCGTTATGCAGCTTATTTTTTGACACTAGACGGTGAAATCGACCAACATGTGGAAGGGGAAGGTGGATGTATGTAGGCGTTGTGAGTTAGTATCGGTGGTAAGCAGAAGCGATGGGTAGCGTTGGAGAAAGGAGGGAAAGTTTTGTACCTATGGTGGTGTTCTTACTTACCTCTTGGTTTGTACACTCGTGTTCTAGAAGAACGCGGACAATCAATCTGTTCTTACATGGTCATGGTCGAATTGACGTGAACTAAACACTCGTTTGTTTAAATAACCAGAATGAAAGGTTTTTTTTTTTCCTTTTCTTTTTTATTCTTTGTTATGTTGGTGATACACGCATGCGCTTTCTTCGGTAAGAATCACAGACAAGATAAACAACAGGAGCATAAGAAGAAGAATGCGAACACAGAGATAGATACTCTACGGAATATAGATCCATAATACTTGATGAGATTTCGATGATTGTTGCTACGAAGCCGATTGCCAAATGCCTAGTCATTTCTGTAACAGATTAATTGGTGGATAGAGGAGCCCAAAAAAAATGTGGCGAATTGTCCCTCCGTTTCGCGTCCAGTATATGAGAGACGATAGAATGAAAAATGCGGGGTTCAAGGATTGTTCTTCTCGCTGGGGTTGGGAAGAAAGAGGGAAAAGGGAGAGAAGGAGAGAGAGAAAGAGAAAGTGGTCTCTCAAGGGAGATCATCCGTCTTCTCCGTCCCGCCACTTTCGCTCCCAAACGAGCTCGTGAGCGAGATGACGGCCGCGGCGTCTCGATAGCTCTGTTTGTTCCCGCCAACAGTCTCATTCAAGATATCCCCCATCTCCGCTCTCCATTCCGAGTTGTACTCCCATGCTTCCGTCCCATCCTCGCCTATACTCTCCCAATCGCTGTCCTCTTCGCCTTCTTCGTGAGGGAACCGCGGTTTGGCGGACCGTCGTGACTTTACGGACATTCCTGTTCGTGATTTCGGAGCCATCGAGGCGTACTGTTTCCCTAGCCCTCGAATGTGATCGAATTGATCGGCTAAATAAAAGGGAAAGAGAGAGCGTCAGTAATTTTGGTATCTGGGGGGCCATGCTGAAGGAATGCACCTCTCGACTTTTTCTGCTTCTTCGCATACGCAGTGACCAGTAGCTCCTCAATGGGAATCAGACTGGCCGCTTCCCTCGTCTCATCCAGCACGATCCCGTCGACCCCTCTCGTCACGGTACCGGTCCCATCCCCCGTGAAGAGCGCCAACTTTGCTCGTTCCTCCATCTCTGTCTCCTCATCCGAGCTCTGGTGCTTCGCTCCAGAGACCCCTTCGTCCTCTGAGTCGCTCGGCCCACTGTCGACGCCTCGTCGGTTGTAGGCAAAGTTGACCCGCTTGCCGTGCGTCCGATGATGAGACGTAGTGGTGCTCGTGGACGAGGTGTGTTGTGGACCCTTGGGTCGGGGGGCGTTCTTTTGATTAAACCTCTTCGCTCGATCCCCAGGCTTTCTGAGTCCTTGTCGCGAATGGTGATCCGTTCGAGCGAGCTTTTCGTCTACTGGTTCAATCATTGTGGTCGTTTGTCTTCTGTTCGGTATCGATTAGTGTCTAGGCAGGTCGTACGCGGTCCTCTCCAGCTTGGGAGCCAAGTGGCGATTTTTTCCCTTTTGCGTTTGATCTAGATTAGCGATATGCTCTAAGAAGTGCTATAGCGGCGTTTATCCCAGCAAGGATAATTAAAAGTAGTAACTAGAAGAAAAATGGGGGCGTAGTGGAGGTGGAGGTGGCAGAGTCCAAGGTGCCTTTCGGCCCTCTGGCGAACAGACGCCGACTTTATATGTCCCCCGTTCGACGATGACGATTTGACGCTCATTGGCTCAGATACGCACACACCCGTTTCCGTGACTCAGATTCAAGGGAGAACCTCTCGAACTCTCCTGGACTTTCCTAGGTACCAAATACATTTGGGAGACGTACCCCCGACGTTTCTCTATTTACGCACCCCCGATCATTCGAGCGAGTCAACGACGCAATGACCGGTTTGGGTATGTGGTGACCATTAGAGGGGATAAGATGCTCTACCGGCCATTCGAACCCGCGAAATGCCGAGTCATGCTCCTTATCGAACGAGTAGCGGACCCAATATACCTCATATCGCCGTAAAGACGGCTACTAGAATGATTGTACCGTGAATAACTGCATTCATACTTGCTAAGATGCCTTCCCGTCTCGTGACAAGGGCCTAGTCAGGGCCTGTTCATCTCGACACCAAGTCCCTCAGAGAGACATCTCTCGCGTAGTTCATTACCATATGGGATCCTGACCATTTCTCCGGCCGACCTCGAAACTAGTTCTGTGACCCATTGTCGTGTTTGAGCCCTTGTCTGAGTACGGCACATTCCATTCTCCGATATGTTCATTAGCTACAAAACACGTGAGTGCCACACGCTTACGAAGAAAGCTCGATATAGAAAGCCCGGTATATCGTACACCGTAGTCCACCTCCCTGTCACCTGGGAAGGATAGGTAGCATCGCCGTCCTCCTGTGATTGCGCCACAATAAGTCCTTGAAGCTTCT